TTTTAAAAATCCATCCACGATGGACCTTTTTATACATTATTACGAATGATGCTGCTATCGTATGGACATGTTCTCATTTCTCTGGGTGGATCCTGAGTGGTGGAAATGCTAGGTCACATGCAGACCCTGTGTTCTGACCCTGAGGCTTTTTACAAAAGAGCTTGGCTGGGGTGCGGTGGGTTTGGGTTGGAATCCTGGATCTGCCAAACTTGGCTACTGTCGGTCTTTTGGCAAGAAACCTCCTTTGCTTTCAGGGAACAATCCTACCTACCCATCTACCCTCACAAGTGGCCCTGAGGTGCGGCCACGAACTGGCTTTGCAAGTTCAAAGCCAGCCTTAGCAACTTAGCAAAACACTTGCAATTCAGTGAGACCCTATCTCTAAACAAAATATTTAAAAAAAGGGCTGGGGATGTGGCTCAGTGGTTAAGCACCCCTGAGTTCAATTTCCAGTACCAAAATACTAATACTACTACTAATAATAACCCCACAAATAACTGCCTCTTGTGGGCCACTTGGGCTGTTTCCTTATTTTCTTTTTGTTTCTTGTTGTTCCTACATGCAATGCTGGGTTCCCCTGAGAGCTGACAAAACCTCTGGGTCCACATGGCACAGTGTGAGGCAGCCACACAGCACGGTGGGCCTCCTCCCACCCCAGAGCTTGGCGGTGGTTCCTCACTTCCTCCGGCTTCTCTCATTTTCTTGTTAAGTTTGGTGCAAGCCTATTTCTATCCTCCAAGAGGGAAGCAGAGTCAGGCTGACTCAGAACTGTATTTCTTGGAATCTACAGAAGTAACATTGGGTCAGAACACCCACTTGTGAATGTCCCAGCTGACACTTCAAGGAGGTGTCACTGAGCCACTGGCTGCTGAAGACCTTGATTTCTGTGTCATAGGAACACAAAATGGCAAAGCAACAATACCATCCCACATGCCAAAAAAACCTGCAGACGTCTCACCTGCTCACCTGGCCTCACTCCCAGCATCCTCCAGGAAATATCCTGGTGTTAGTTTTAGTATTCAATTTTAATTTTTAATTTTTGTTTCTGTATCTTCAGGCTTTGAAGAACCAAAGCCTTTCTGTTCTACAGCCAGAGTTTTATTTTACTTCTTATGAAACACCCTCAGCCCCTCCTTCTACGTGAGATTAATCAGCCACTCATCAGTGTGGGAATCTTCGGAACGAGAGCATATTCTACTCTTAGGAATCATCTAACTGCTGGGGATGCAGCTCAGTGGTAGAGTACTTGCCTAGCATGTGTGAAGCCCTGGGTTCCAGCCCCAGCAACACACACACACACACACACACACACACACACACACACACAATCATCTAATCCAGTGATTTTTGTTGCTTATTAACTTTATTTTACACATGCAATGCCTAGAAACATTTCATTGTAAAGCTAAAGTTTCCTTGATTGACCTCTTATTTTCTTCTATATTCAGAGATAGCCTTTATGTCACTTTGGTGTAAATCTTTTTAGAATTTTTTTTAATGCATTTACACATATAAATATACATGCACCAAGGGCTGGGGTTGTGGTGGAGTGTTTGCCTAGCAAGTACGGGGGCCCTGGGTTTGATCCCTAGTACCACATAAAAATAAATAAATAAAGGTATTGTGTCCACCTACAACTAAAAAATAAATGTTAAAAAAAATAAATATACCTGCACCTAGACACACACAATCTTGGAAAATCCTTAGCAATGACCTTCGGGTTTCCTCCACCAGAAAACAGTGAGATACTGTTTGTTATTCTGCATCTTGTCTCTTCCGCCTAAGCCATAGGTCTTAGGAATCATCTGTGTTGGCACCTTGTTCTTTGTAGTGGCTTCATATGAGAGTAACCATCGTGCTAGGGGTGGGCAGGTGCTTTGCCCTTGACTATGAGAGCGTTGACAGCCCTTTCCTGACTTACCTGGATACACCTGGGTAGGTGCTAGAAATGGCTGGGCCACAGGTTAATGCAARAGAAGGTCCGCAGCCATTGCCAGATGGCTCTCAAAGGTACCAGTACCTCTTCTGCCCCGCTCAGTTTGTCTGAGAATATCCACTGTCCAAGCCGCTATCCTGATAGTTTTCCTGACCCCACCAGTGACGTTCAGCTCAGGTGGGGTCATCTCTAATGAACATTGCTACCTCAGGAGCCAGTTTCTCAAAGGAGCAAGGCAGCGTGCCCACCCCAGGTGCAGGGACTACAAAAGGCTTGGCCACCAGTAGTCCAAACCTGCTTCTTCCTGCTCTGTAAACAAGGGTGTAGAGGTTCCACTGGGCTGGTCTATAGTGGTAAAAGCAGACCCAAGGACCCGGATGTTAGTCCAAGACTTTTATATTGTGCTTAAAAAAAGAAAGAAAAGAAAGGTCAATTGCATTAAATCCACCCATTGCCAATGGCATGATTTTGTGGGTTTTGGAAACAAGGTGATTTTGACCCTATAAAATACCACACCCTCTAATGGTGAAATACTTTCTTCCTTGACTGTTTTTTTTGGTTGGTGCCCTGCCATCCAGCCAGGTGATTTCTGGAGATAATCCTCCCTCATGGGACAGCCTCTGTGGCAGTTATCATCTGAGGCCCAGAGAGCTCTGTGCCTCTGGCAGAGATCAGGATATCTGGATAGACRGACTGAGAAGGACGTCCTGCTGACTTCTCAGACTGACAGGCAGGGGTCAAAGGCTGGCCCGACCTTTTTGAGCACCTGGAAGATGAGAGGTGACTGTGGCACATTTTTATTTTTATATTTTATTTGCAGTGCTGGGATTGAACCCAGGGCTTGCTCGTGCAAGGCAAGTGTCCTACCACCAAGCCACACCCTCAGCTCTGTGGTACTTTTTTTTAAAGCAGAGGGATCGAAATTCAGAAAATGCTTTTAAAATGTAAAAATGTCTGCTGTGGGGTCCTATATAACAGGGTAAAAAATCAGTAACCAGTTCAAAGTCTAACAAAGGAAAATAGGGGTGTAGTTAAGTCAATAACAATAAACTCGACGGATTATTATCCTAAAAACAGGCTGCAAACTGATTTGTCAATTTCACAATTACTTGATATAATGTTCATGAAAAATTTAAGTGACTTCATAGAGTGTAATTTTTTTTKTTGTTGTTGTTGTTACTGGGGAATAAACCCAGGGGCACTCAAATACTGAGCCACATCCCCAGCCCTTTTATGTATTTTATTTAGAGACAGGGTCTTGCTGAATTGCTTATGGTCTTGCTATGTTGCTAAGGCTGGCTTGTGATCTTTCTGCTTCAGCCTCCCAAGCTGTTGGAATTATAGGCATGCTCCACCATGCCTAGTTTCTCATGGAATATAATTTTACAAGAGCTTTTTTGGAAGAGAACTGGATAATTTGTTATTGTTGTTGTTTTGTTTTTTTTTAAGTGCTGGGAATTTAACCCAGGGCCTCACATACGCTGCACCACTGAGTTATACCCTGCAACTCCCAGATGTTAAATGTGATCCAGAAATTACATTAAAAAAAAAAAACAAAACCAAGTCCTACTGAGATCTTGCATGAAYGTGCAGAAGTTTAGAAACAAGCATGTTCACTTCAGTGCTGTTTGTACTAGGACATCTGGGAGAGAATCCAAATACCTATTCACTGGAGGTTGGACAAATACCTTAGGGGACATGTACACAGTTATATATCCTACCTGGAAAGGTCAGCCGGGCCGTCTGCGCACATGACATGGAAAGCCATCCAAGGTCCCATGTGAACTGGGAAGTAAGACGCAGAACATGCCAAGTGCAGCCCCTGGCTCCTAAACACAGGTTTCTGTTGACAAGGCAGAAGAAAAACTTGCAGAGTGGCCGCCTCAGCTGTCAGCTAGCTGTGGTTTTCAAAGGTAGGGGGCGTGGTTARGGAGGACTTCCACTTTCCAGTTCAGAGTTCCATAGTGCTTACAGTTTTACTCAAAGCAAACCGTCCCTTTGGAATCAAGCAAAACAATCAAGGTCACTGATTCCTTCCTAAAAAAGAAAAGAGAGCGCGTGGTGCAGCCCTGTCTGGGCTGGAGTCCCTGAGAAGCCAGAGCCCTGCAGAGGCTGGCCAGGGTGGCCGAGGGATCCTAGTGGGGGCCTGGGGAGGCCTGGGATAGCTGCTCCTCACATTCCCTTCCATCTTGGAGCTGTTGTGGCCCAGGAAGAGAGAAGAAGAGAGTTGCTACCCACCATGGGTGTTAGAGTTCATTTGGGACAAGGTTTTGTTGTTTGTTTGTTTGTTTGGCATTTTGGGTTTGCTTTTTGGTGCTATGTATTGAACCCTGGTCCTTACCCATTCTAAGCCCATGCTCTTCCACCAAGCTACACCCCCACCTTCCAGATAAAATGGGCTTTTTGAAACAAGAATGGGATTATACCAAGTCTTAGCCTGTTTTCTGTTGCTATAACAAAATAACTGAGGCCAGATAATTTATAAAGAACAGATTTAGGGGCTGGGGAGGTGGCTCAAGCAGTAGCGCGCTCGCCTGGCATGCGTGTGGCTCGGGTTCGATCCTCAGCACCACATACAAACAAAGATGTTGTGTCCACCAAAAACTAAAAAATAAATATTAAAATTCTCTCTCTGTCTCTCTCTCTCTCTCTCTTAAAAAAAAAAAAAAAGAACAGATTTATTTGCCTTACAGTTCTGATGACTGGCAAGTCCAAGAGCAAGGCACCAGCATCTGGTGAGGGCATTTTGGGCTGCATCATAATGTGGCATGGTGTCTTCTTTCTTTCTGCAGCGCTGGGAATGAACCCAGGGTCTTACTCATGCTAGGTGAGCACTCTGCCACTCAGCTGCACCTCCAGCCTGGTATTTTATTTTCATTGTCAACTTTCTGGCTATAAGTGAAAAGGTGTATAATTAAGAGGTGTCACTCTGTCCACAAGAACGTTGTGCCCATGAGAACAAATAGGGTCTCTTGGGGACTGTTCCTCCTCAGGGGAAATGGCAGGGGGAGAGGAGGCAGGGCCACTCCTGGACTGAGCCTCRTGTTCCCTTTGCCTTCTGCAGGAAGCCTGGAAGCATGCGATCGAGAAGGCCAAGCACATGCCCGACCCCTGGGCCGAGTTCCACCTTGAGGACATTGCCACGGAACATGCTACTCGCCACAGGTCAGTGGCCTGTCTCGGGAGTTCTGGGATCCAGGGGTCTAGGGAGGCCCAAGTACCCTTGGAGTCAAAGAGAAGGGAGTAACGCAGGTCAGGCACCCCAAATCTGGAAGCCCAAGTTTCAGCTTTTGGAGCATTTTAGATTACCAAGTTAGGATTGGTCAACCAGTGAAGTCTATGCAGATATTCCAGAATCCAAAGAAATCCGAAACCTGGAATGTTTCGGGCCCCATGCATTTTGGATAAGGGGTACTCAACTTTTAATGACAATATTTGAGTGTTTGTGCATGCGGCAGGCACTACGCATTATCTCACTGAGTCCTTCTAACAGTCCCACAGGGTACGTTTTAGGCAGATGAGGCTGAGCTATGCTGCAGTAACAAATAACCCAAGGGTTTCACGCAACAAAGTGTATTTCTTACATGTTGTGAAGTGGGGTGAAAGTTGAGGGCTCTTCGGAGCAGCTTGGGGATCCAGGTTACTTCCACCTTGTGGCCCCATCTTCTCAACTTGTGACCCCACAACTGCCACCAAAGGGAAGGATAGCATTGAGGAAGCACGGTAGCTTTTCAATGCCTGCCTTGACCCAGGAAGTAGCCTCCGTTTCTATGCATTTCAATAGTGAGATCTGGTGGCTGGACCCCACCTCTTCCCCAGTCCTGCAGTACTACCTTCTCCCTCATGAAACCCTCCTTCCACCACTGGAGACCCACCTCCTCACGGGGTGGGTGCAGGGCAGACTAGCAGGGCAGATACAGGCTTTGCTCCTTTCCTGCAAGAGCACTGTGATAACTGGCTGGTGTCACACAGCTTCCAGGTTGAGGACACTCGGCCACTAGAAAGGCCCTGGGAATTACCAGCCTGGGAAATTTGAACATGTGCTGGGCTGGCTGTGTCTCCAAGCTCAGGCCAAAATGTTTATTTCCTAATTAAAGTAGCCGACTTCCATTGCCCTGGTTGCCCGGGGTAGGAAGCCATGCCTAGAATCTCCTGAGATTTCTAAACCGGAGGCTTCCTTCTCTGTTCCTAGGTTTTCATGAGTTCTGGTGCCAGCTGGTCCTTTCCTGGGACAGATTTCCTGTCCATGTGGGTCGTACCTAGGCTGGTTGACAGCAAGGTTCTTACTTGAACCAACCTGCCGTTTGAATCCTGGAATCTCTGGTAGAAACTTTGCCTCTCCCAGCTTCAGTTTTCCCATCTGGAAAATGGGTGYAATAACTAGTAGTCTCAAGGTGACTGTGAAGGTTGAGTGACGTGGAGTGAAGTGGATCCTGGGAGCTTAGCGAACTTGGAGCACTCTGCCCTTTGTGATATCAGTGGCTGTGAGTCAGTAAAACCCTTACCAAGTCACATGCTTCCCTGCCCCAGTCCCTGGGTTCCTCTCGTTCGTTCGCAGGCGAGGGAGGATTATTTTCATTACCTTCATCTCTATCTAGTAATAAAGCAGTCATCGCTGTTATTTATTGAGCACTGTATTGCCAGGGGCTGGTTACAAGCAAGTTTGCCACTGTGAAAAGCCCTTCTCCTGGGGCCTGGGAGTTCCCTGCCAGGTCTCTGCWTGTTTTTCCTCGCAGAGGTTTCAGGCTCTGAGAAACCTGTTCTCACCAGGGCGGGGAGTGCCCTAGAGTCCGCCTGAGCTGCGGAGTGGGCCAAGAAAGGCATCAAGCAGATCTTGGAACACCTTGGTGCAGGRGAGGTTTTAGATGTTGGTGATCTGCTGAGCTGAGGCGCTTCCYACCAGACAAACCTGTTTGGGGCCTACTCGGGCCCAGGGTCAGATGTGCTCTGGRAAAGAGGATTCCTGGGAGGGAAGAGACAGAATGTTCCAGAACCTTCTCCATCTCTTTTAATAACAATAATTGTGAACCCAGCAGCCTCTTTCCTGGCTAGACTTGGAGCTAGGACTCTCCCCTTCCCCTCCCTGCTCATGAACAGTCTTTCTTGGGAAATAATCCCGTCTTCCTGGGCTGGGCCTGGCTCAGATGTGTGGTGAGGTGGAGAACACTGATGCGTCCGTCTCCCCAGGGATGTTCTGTTACATACATAAGGATATTTCTGCAGTCACTCACCAGACGTGCATTTAAATATCCACCACACCAGGCCCCATCAGGGATGACCCAGGAGGTCAGCAGGGCCTGTGGGCCAAGGAATGGAGGAGAGGCCTAGGTCATGGGGGGGCCCAGACTTGAGCCAGTTAGAGACAGGATCACGTTTTGATTTTGCCTTCTGAGATGGGCGCTGGTCTCTGCAGGTACAACGCTGTCACTGGGGAGTGGCTGGAAGATGACGTTCTGATCAAGATGGCATCTCAGGTGAGCTGGGTCCTGGGCTCCGAGGAGACAAGCCTGAGTGGGGCCTTCCTCCAGCCAACCTCAATCCCTGCACCCTCCCCTCCACTCCCGCTTCATTTGATTTTTTGAACCTTGGGAATTCTTTCTGTGATAGTTTGCGTAGTGTGCCTTTAAAAAATAGCTTTATTGAAGTATCATTGGTATGCCAACAATTTGCCCATTTAAAGTACATAGGGCTGGGGATATAGTTCAGTCTTGGTAGAGTGCTTGCCTCGCATGTGCAAGGCCCTGAGTTCAATCCCCAGCACCACACACATACACACACACACACACACACACACACAAAAAATTATATATATATAATACCGGGTGTTGTGGCACATGCCTGTGATCCTAGTGGCTCAGGAGCCTAAGGCAGGAGTATTGGGAGTTCAAAGCCAGCCTCAGCAYCTTAGCAAGGCCCTAGACAACTCAGTGAGACTTTGTGTCTAAATAACATACAAAAAATGACTGCGGATGTGGCTCAGTGGTAATGTGGCTCAGTGGTAAAGTGTCCCTGGGTTCAATCCCTGGTACCACACACACACACACACACACACACACACACACACACACATACAAAAGTCTAAAGTATAAAATTCAATAGTTCTTAGTGTATTTACAGAGTTATGTGACTCTTACCATTATTAATTCCAGAACATTTTCACTTTCCCTAAACGAAATCTGGTGTCTAACAGCTGTCACTCCTCATTCCCTCAACTCCTCCCACCCCAGCAACCATGAATCTAACTTCTGCGCCTGTAGATTGGTCCATACTAGACATTTCATATCCTAAGACACCCTATATCATAAATGACTGTTCTTGCCTACTTAGAACAAATTTTAAAAATAAAGAGAAAAGACTGTTCTTGGGGCTGGGGCTGGGACTCAGTGGTAGAGCACTAGCCTGGCATGTGTGGGTCACTGAGTTTGATTCTCAGCACCATCTATAAATAAATTAATTAAATAAAAGGTCATCGACAACTGAATATATTTTTTAAAAAAAGACTGTTCTCAGCATTTTGGTTGAAAATCTGTTAACTGTAAATACATTTATCAGTTTTTAAAAATTGGAGGTCACTTCCTATAACTGAGCTATTGAATAAATTCAGAGGGTTGTAAACCAGCCTTTGAAAAAGTAGGAAATAGTCCTTCCTGCTTGGTGAGGGTAAGGATCATCTCAGGAAGCTTTTTTTAGTGTAACATGCACAGCTTGGCTGGGGTATAGTTCAGTGGTAGAACATGTGCTCAGCATGCATGAGGCTCTGGGTTGAGTCCCCAGCACCAGAAAGAAAGCTTATAGCTTGATGAATTTTCATAAAGTGAGTGCACAGATCAAGAAACAGAATATAACCAGTGCTTCCAGAAGCCCATCTCATGCTGTTCCCTCCCTGCAAGTATAAGCACTACTCTGATTTCTATCAACCTAAATTAGTTTTGAAAAAATATATATATATAAAACAATAATAATAATTTTTTTTCAGGGCTGGGAGTGGAACCCAGGGCTTTGCACATGCTAGGCAAGCACCCTACCACTGAGCTACATCTCCAGCCCCATTTTTCCAGTTTTTACCAATGGAGCCACACTAACTGGGTTCTTTTGAGTATGGCTTCTTTTACTTAACACTTTGCATTTATTCTCCTTGCTGTATAATATTTCATCAAATGAACAGACCTAGTTGATTTATTTAGTATATTGTTGATGACATTCATCTTGTTTCCACTTCTTTTTGAAATAGTGTGTTAATTAGTTTTCTGTCACTGTGACAAAATACCTGAGATAATCAACTTAAAAGAGAAAAGATTTACTTTGGCTCATGGTTTCAGGGGCTTCATTTCATGGTCGCTTGGCCCTATTTCTTTGGGCCTGTGGCAGCACAGTACCTCGTAGCAGGACCATGTGGTGGTGGAGGCTTGTTCACTTCATGATGGCCAGAAATAAAGAGAGAAAGAAGAGGGGCTTGGGTCCAACTRTCCCCTTCACAAGTATCCCTCCAGTGACCTAATTTCCTTCTCCTAGGCCCCACTTTGTAAAGGTCTTACCACCTCCCAATAGTGTACACAAGGGCCTCCTCCCTGTCTCTTAGCAACTCCAGGCTGGAAGGCCTATGAGGCTTTGGTGCTGGGGTGCAGCAGGGAGGGCTTAAGTATATTAGGATTGAGATGAGGTTCAGGGCATCTGCTGGGTGGGGGGTGTCTCAGGGGACCATCTCCTGCCTCAGGTTTGCTTCTGAGTGGGACATGGGGACTGATAACTCTCTGTGTGGTGTCTTTCAGCCGTTCGGCCGTGGAGCAATGAGGGAGTGCTTCAGGACGTAAGTGACTCAGCCTGGCATGTGGGGTTCTGCCCAGACTTGGCCAGGCTCCTTAGACCTAGGAAATTGGGACATTTTCAGCTAATGACTGAGATAGTGACTTCTGCCTTTTTAAAGCCCAAGATCTGCCAGGTGTGGTGTTGCCTGCCTATAATCCCAGTGACTCAGGAGGCTGAGGCAGGAGGATTGCTAGTTTGAGACCAGCCTCAGCAACTTAGGAAAATCCTAAGAAACTTAGCAAGACCCTAAGTAACTTAGCGAGACCCTGTCTCAAAATAAAAAAATAAAAAGGGACAGGTGGTGTGGCTCAGTGGTTAAATGCCTCTGAGTTCAATCTCCAATACCAAAAAAAAAAAAAAAGCCTAAGTTCCTCTCCATCTGGAGTGTGATGGACCACACCTTGGACCTGGCTGTGGAGATTGGGCTCCAGAACAGGGTCAAGGAAAGGTGAACAGGAGAACTTTAACAGTGACCCTGCCCCTCTTCCTAGCTCTTTGAAGTGTGCGGTGGAGTGGGGACGCCCCTCCCACCTCTACATTTCTGCCTCCAGTTATCCATGTCATGTCAGGTAGGTCCCCAGTGAACCCCAGGGTGCCCAGACAGGCCCCCTCTCTTTCCCCAGGAAGAAGCTCTCCAACTTCTTGCACGCCCAGCAGTGGAAGGGAGCCTCCAACTACGTGGCCAAGCGCTACATCGAGCCTGTGGACAGGGACGTGTACTTTGAAGACGTTCGCCTACAGATGGAGGCCAAGCTCTGGGGGGAGGAGTATAATCGGCACAAGCCCCCCAAGCAGGTATGACCCACTCCCTGCTTCCTTCCCACTCCAGAGCCGTGGGGACAGCGTCTGGGGATGGGGGATGGTGGCGCTAATAGGGGCCTTCTAATAACAACCCCTATTTGCGGAGCACAGTGAACCACAGACCTGATATGCAGAGAGTCATCTGTTCCTCAAAACCGAGCTCTGAGGTTGTAAAGTTTTTAATTCCCATTTCCAGATGGGATCTGTAAAGTATTTTTGGTGGCAAATGATGAAAACTCACTTGACTGGCTTGATTCAAAAAGGGAATTCATTGTTTCATGCACCAGAAAAAAAAAAATAGTGTCAACTATAGGCGTGGCTGGATCCTGGACCAAAGTGAGGTTATCAGGACTCTTCCCCCATCTCTGGCTGGGTGTCTCCTGTGCTGACAACATTCTCAGGCAGCCTCCAGGTCACTTTCTGTCTTCTCATCAATCCTGTTAGAATGGTGATACTTACTTTTCCTTAACTTCCAGTGAAAGTCTCAGACTTGGATTTTATTGGTTCTGATGAGGTCAGATGCCTATGCCTGAGCCAATCACAATGACCAAGAGAAAAGAATATGCAGATTAGGCAATTTGAGCCTTGGAGCCAGGAAGGTAGGGCATTCCACCCAGGCCACCTGGACAGTGGTTTCCAAGAAAAAGCAGGAGGAGTGGGGAATGGACACAGCATTGGCTCCCTGAGGAACTCAGAGCTCAGTGGGGTTAACTGACTTGCCTAGCTAGGTGGGGATGGAGCCACAGCTCAAATCCAGGCCTTCCCACTCTCTGCCAGGGTTGGCCCCTTCACTTGAGACCAGGGTTTTACAAGAATGAGTCCAAGCAGAACTTTCCATTGCCTGTGGGCACTTGAGGAATCGTTGGTTCATSCTCAGCCTTCACTGCTTGAGCACTACTAGATACAAGGCACCAACTCCTCCGTGTCACAGGAGAGTCACACTTGCAGGCAACCAGCAGAATTTATTGAGCACCTGCTGTCTGCAGAGCCCTTGATTAAGTATACTTGGAGTGGACATAAGAAGTTCCCTTTCTCAGTGGCTGTGATCTCCTTAGAATATGGCTACACGCTGGTCTTGATCTGTCCAATCCTTGCATGGCTAGCTCCTTCTCATAGTTCAGGTCTCGGTTCATGTCTTACCTCTCGCCAAGGCCATCTGTGACTACCCTAAATGAAGTCACCCTCTCACCCCCACCACCTCCGCCATGTTATTCTGGTTTATTATATTTTCTTTTCTTCCAAGCAGTTAGAGCTTTCTGGAAGAGTCTTGTGCACGTAGTTAATATTTTAGTTGCTTTCCCTTGAAGGCAGTGATTTGGGTATCTAGTAAATAGTGATGTGATTGAATTCAGGGAGTGAGATAAGTGTGGTTGTTTGAGCAGGTACTGGCTGTCCACACAACCTGTCCCACTGCCCCTTGCCCAGGGAGCCCTCTGGCCAAGCAAGTGGCCCTATCACAAGCGTCCATGTAGAGATAGAGCCTGCATGGGAGATGGGAGCCCTCTGAGGACTGACCTTCCCCTTCTTGCCTCAGGAACAACTGAGAAGTCCTCAGCTCTCAGCTTTGGCTTCTGTGACCTCTAAAGCTATTGTCCRCCTACCTGGTGACTCAGCCTCTCTGAACAGTCATTTTCTTGGAAAACCCAGACCTGGTTCCTTCCATGTTGTGGGTGGCACTGAGGGTGGCGGGTGCTATGGGTGAGTCCTTATGTAGCAAGATAAAATATATAAGCCACAGGTCTTCCCTACCCACTTTTTAAACTCTATGTGGCATTTATGCATTTTCTCCTACATGTAACGTTAAACGTATACTTTACAAAATTTCAACACAAACAACAAAGTTCCTCATAATTCCCCATTGCAGGGAGAGAACCTCTACAGGTTGGCATAGATGACTAAACTCATGTCCGCTGTTGATAATGATGTTGCAAACATTGACTGACTCCTTTGTGTATCAACAGTTTAATCTTTGTATTAAGTCTGAGATTCCCCTCTCCACAGGGAAGAAATTGAGGCACAGGTGAAATAGTGCACTGCTTACTATTCATAGTATTAGTGGAAGGCACAGGCTAAGTTGCTGGCAAACATTCCTGCAAACATGTTTATGAAAAATGGTTTCTCTCTTGCTCATGCTTTGGGGTGGCTTAAAGTGGGCAGGTGCCTCACATCCTTTAAGTCATCGGGAGGCCTGGTTTCTTCTGTCTTGTGATTCTGCCCTCCCTGGGGTTGCTGTGGGCCACAGGTTTGATTCTGGCTTGCCAGCAGAACCCACATTGCAGGGCAGGCTGCAGCTATGGCATTGCACCTGCTCCCTTCCCATTGGCTGGGAGTGGTCATGTGACTGCCCTAGCTGCAAGGGAGGCGGAGCAATGCCATCCCTTCATGATGCATCTTGGGGATAATTAGTAGTTCTGCCACAGTCATCTGGGGAGTGGTGGAGCCAGAGTCAGAGCCCTCCAGGCCCAGCCCTTCCACCGACCCCATTCCCTGACCTCCCCCAGGTGGACATCATGCAGATGTGCATCATCGAGCTGAAGGAGAGGCCTGGCCACCCACTCTTCCACCTGGAGCACTACATTGAGGGCAAGTACATCAAGTACAACTCCAACTCAGGCTTTGTCCGTGATGAGAACATCCGCCTGACTCCGCAGGTAAGGCCCCAGCTTGCTCTGCATATACCTACACCCTCCATCCACCCGAGCCCTTGGGAGAGAAGCCTAGCCAGGGTCAGCCCTAGAAAGGAGGATCCTTGTGGGAATGAGGTCTCACATCCCCAGGGGCCCCCCAGACTCCTTGGAATGATCCAAAGGAGATTCTGTTACCAAACACCTGTCATCCCATGCAGCTTCTTCAGGCAGACCTAAGTTGGCCACAGGATTGCATCCCCAAGGTCCTTGCAGAACTGAACAGACCTTTTTCCTCTATCTTATCCTCTATACAATTGTGCTTTGCAGAGAAAGTATCCCAACTCAGGCAGAGCTGGGATGTTATACGCCCCAGCCACCACACTGACTGGCCAGTGTCTGCAGAGTTCACAGCCCGGGCTCTTACAACCACCTTTTTCTAACTATTCCTCACAGGCCTTCAGCCACTTCACGTTTGAGCGTTCTGGCCATCAGCTGATTGTGGTGGACATCCAGGGTGTGGGTGACCTCTACACCGACCCACAGATCCACACGGAGATGGGCACGGACTTTGGAGATGGCAACCTAGGTCAGTGGGGAAACCGGAGTGTCCTTCCTCCGAGCATCTGCAAGTTCTTAACTCACCCAAGGAGACAGACAGAGACAGGCTGTATCGAGATGGGAGCTTGGGATATCTGACCCTCACTTCCAGCTCATCATGTTTCCACCCACCCTGGCCATGTGTCTGGTGCTCACTCTGCCTTTCCCCTATTCAGATGCAAAGTGACACTTCAGATGCCCCTGTTCTGTCTACAGGTGTCCGAGGGATGGCTCTCTTCTTCCACTCTCATTCCTGCAACCGAATATGCCAGAGCATGGGCCTCACTCCTTTTGACCTCTCACCCCGGGAGCAGGACGCATTGAATCAAAACACCAAGATGCTGGTGGGTGCCCAGGCATGGAGCCCTGCTTTTCTATACTGGCAGCTGGGCCTGGAGTGCTGAATTCAAGAATATCAGGGCTGATAAGATCCATCCCATCTGTTCCTCAATGCATCCCCTTCAACTTGGTGCACAGAGCCCTTTGGAGGGTCCCCGTAATAGAGTAGGTGGTATCTGCTTGAGTTGGGCCCATTTGTGACCAGAGTAAGGAAGACCAGCAGGTAGGAAAGGAAAGACGGTGTGTGGTGTGTTATTGTGTGATATATTGACAAATGAGAGATTAGACTCACACCTGGCTCTCTGGGCATCTTATTGTGTGCAAGATGAGATTACACCACCACACCCCTGCTTACACAGACCAGATGCAGAATATGGGCAAAGATCAGCTTGGGATCCTGGACATATATTGGAATATATTGTCCAGCTCAGGGCTGCAAAGTGTGGCTATCACTTTAGAAGATACTGGCTGGCAGGCCCTTTGAGATCTGTACCATGTGCCCTTTCTTGGATACCTGAGGGTTAATCCTGCACTGACTTTTTTTTTTTTTTTTTTTGCATGCATAAGAGCGATAGCTAAAAGGGGTTCAGGGATAGAGGGAGCCAACAGAAAGAACAAAAAGAGCCCCTCATTCCCCAGAGAGTGACTACATGACATAAGTATCCCTGTTACCATCCCCAGCAATCAGCCAAGACCACCTTAAGGGGGACAGAGGAAAAGTGCGGGAGCCCCCGAGTGAGGACCCTCTCTGGCAGCCGGCCGCCCCTGCTCCTTCGCCTTTCAGAGAACTCTGGAGACGAGAACCTGAGTGATGTGACCTTCGACTCTCTCCCATCCTCCCCTTTGTCAGCCACACCACACAGCCAGAAATTGGACCTCCTCCGTGAGTGTTGATTTGGTGTTTGGTCATTGTGATTGGAGGGGACAGCAGAGGGTAGAGCAGAGATGAACTGGTTTTCACTCCTGCTGATAAATCAGACATGCTCATCAAAAAGGCTCATGGCCCCGAAGGTTTCATGGGTGAGTTCTTTGAATGAACTTTCAAGAAATAGGTCAACCAAATTCTACAGAAACAGCCCCTATGGTAGAAAAAAATGTGGCAACATTTTTCAGTGTGTTTTATGAAACTAGTAAAACCCTTATACCAAAATATGACAAAACTCCAAAAAAAAATAATCCCCCAACCCAGAAGATTTTATTATATCCCAACCTCAAAATTACATCAAAATTCTGAATGAAGTATTAACAAATAAAAATGAATAGTGTTGTAAAAAGAATAGTCCTCCATAGATGAATGTGAGAATTGGTCAACTTTAGGACATCTATTAACATCACATTAATAGGTCAGAGGAGAAAAGTGGAATTGTTATTTTCTGAATTTGAAGTGTTATGATGATGTGGTTTTGAGGTCTAGAGGAACAAGAGGAGTTGAGTCTGACCCCAGGGTTTTGGCCTGAAGAATTGGAATGTGTGACACTTCATTCTGTTGGGGAAGGATGTGAAGGAGCAGATTTAGGGCAGGAAAGAACTTTGATGTCAAAGTAGCCTTTTAGAGGTCTCCCTCGGAAGACCTTTGGAAAAGTCTAGAGCAGGGGTCAGCAAACTTTTTCTTAAAAGGCCAGAGAGTTAAAATATATATATGTATTTTTTTTAAGTGGGTCTTGCAATGTTATTGTCCCTGCTGACCTGGAACTTGTGATCCTCCCACCTCAGCCAAGTAGCTTGGACCAGAGTCATGTGTCACCACACCCAGCCAGAGAGTAAATATTTTAAGCTTTACAGGCCGCATGGTCTTTGCGTTTGCAGCATGAAAACAGCCATAGACTGTGAATGAATGAGTCTGTGTTCCAATAAAATTTACAGTTTATTTACAGTCACTGAAGCTTAAATCTCATGTGATTTTCACATGTCATAAAATATTCTTCTTTCGATATTTGATATTTGTCCAAACCTGGAACTCTTGAGCTCAGGTGATCCTTCTGCCTCAGCCTCCCGAGRAGCTGGGACTCTTAGAGCCGGGACTATGGGCATGTGTCACCTACTCAGCTGTTCTTTTGATTTCTTTTCCCCCCAACTATTTAAAAATGTAAAAACCACTCTTACAACTTTTTTTGGTGTGTGCTGCGGGTGGAACCCAGGGCCTCATGYCTGCTAGACACACACTCTACCGCCAGCACTCAAATTTAATCAAAATGGGCAGCCAGACAGATTTGGCTCAAGAGAGCTTAGGTCAGGAGACAAATAGGAAGCTATCAAGTTGGTTGGTTTTGAAGCCACCTGAGACCCATTCAGTGGGCCCCAAATTACATATGATTTTTCTTTCTTCACAACTGCATTTAATTCAGAGCTGAGCATGGTGACAAACACATTACAGGTAAATTGCATTATGACTTGAGGAGGCACAGGGTGGCGCTGCTTGCTCAGGACACTGTAGTTTGCAAGAGGTAGACTTATTCTAAGTTCTCAACTGAAGTCAATCCCCCAGGGTCTGACCACGTTTCTCTCCCATTTTATGCCTTTCTTTAAAAATTATAAATAGCTGAGTGTGGTGGCCCAGGCCTGTCATCCCAGTGGCTCAGGAGGCTGAGGCAGGAAGACCTCACATTCAAAGCCAGCCTCCACAACTTAGTGAGGCCCTAAGCAACTCAGTGAGACCCTGTTTCTCAATAAAATAAAAAAATAAGGGCTGGGGACGTGGCTCTGTGGTTAAGCGCCCCTGGGTTCAATCCCCAGTACAAAAAGAAATAAATTAATTAAAAATAAAAGTCAGTACAGCCTGCCGTAGGCAATAGGTTGGTCTGGTGAATGTTCCAGCAGTAGAATCTGCCCATTACCTCTGTTTCTTCCTGCCCAGATTGGCCCATGTTTGGTGACCTTGATAACATGGCACCCAGAGACCACGACCGTCTAGACAACCACCGGGTGAGTGGAGAGTAAGGGAAGGAGGAGGGGCTCCGGGCCCCAGCAGGGTGGGAGGGCTGGGCTCTCTTAGTGGGGACCTTTAGTGGGGACCGAGGGTGAGCCTTCAGATTCAGGTGGGTAGCCCAGCCCAGGTGTGCTCCAGGAAATGCCCRGAGGGCTTGGGGCTGGGGCAGCTGGACAAAGTGAAGGAACTCCGTCTGCTGCCAAGGCAGAGCTTCCTCTGGGAAAAGCCGTGTCCCTTCAGTTCCTGGAGATGTCAGGGAAGATTATTTCCAAATCAGCAGCAGCACATGCCAGGCTCAGCCCTGGGGTTGGGTCTGGCCACACATGTGTGGATGCCTGACCCTGTGCGGGTTCCAGTCATGGAACCTACAGCCTGGTGGCACAGTGCTCTCGGGTGGCATAAAGAGAATGTCTCCTGCAGCTTCAGGTTGACTCAGCAGTGAGAAACTAAAGGCACCATGTTTGCATCTGCCCGAATATATATTATGGCATCAAAGTAAAAATTAAAACTAAAAGTGGATAAATGCACAGGTCACAGCTCCACTTTTGCTCTACTGATTACCCCAGAGGTTCAAGTTCATTCCGGGATGCTTTTCAGAGTTCGTAAATAGAAGGGGAAAGTAATAACACGTGACATGTATGGAATTGTCACCGGGAACAGTTTTAAGAGTTTGGTAGATATCCTCATTTAATTCTCAAAACTTACAAGGTTGGTATTATTTTTTTATTCCTTTTAGAGTAGATTTTATTCTAGAAGTCAAGCTTAGAATTTTGGGAATAGGTAATACCTTTTCCTGGTTCAGGAGGAAAAGGTCTGAAAGATTAGCACAGTAGAAAGTCTCCCTCCCACCCTGTCCCTTCTTGGCGACCGGTCCCAGTGTTAGCAACCCCGGGGGCCATTCTCTCTCTTTCATTGTCCCTGATTTAKAGTTGAAGAAACTAAGGCACAGAAGTTAAGGGACTTGCTCAAGACATTTAGCAATGGAGCCAGGGTTCAAGCTCTCAAACCCAAACCCGCCCTCTACTCTCCTGTCCTCTGCTGCCTTCTGTTTTACACCTTGGAGTTGGTATTCATCTATTTCTCAGGCGAGGAAACTGAGACTGGGAGAGGCTGCCTGCCTCACTCTGAGCCACGGAGCTGAGATCTAAGTGAGGCTCTGTGTCCCACAGCTTCAGAGTGATTCCAAAAGGAGGAACATGTGCCCAAGGTTGTGTGGTTCTGAGTTCCAAGAGAGGGGTGCTTCAAGCCCCTGAATAAGGCCTGCAATCCATTTTCAGTCTTTTATCTGGCATACTGAACAGTTGGGTATTATAGAACATAATGCATCAATTTATTTTTTTTTATTTTTATTTTTTTAAAGAGAGTGAGAGAGGAGAGAGAGAGAGAGAGAGAGAGAGAGAGAGAATTTTTAATATTTATTTTTTAGTTCTCGGCGGACACAACATCTTTGTTGGTATGTGGTGATGAGGATCGAACCTGGGCCGCACACATGCTAGGCGAGCGCGCTGCCGCTTGAGCCACATCCCCAGCCCCAATGCATCAATTTAAAGAGTTGAAAATGTCTTTCCCATGTGCTAGGGATTAAACCCAGGACCTTGCATCTGCACCTTACCGCTGATCTACATCCCCACTCCTTAAATGTTAAAATATTAGACCAGGCACTGTAGTGCATGCCTGTCATCCCAGCTACTTGGGAGGCCAAGGCAAGAGGATTGCAAGATTGGGGCCAGTCTGAGCAATTCAGCAAAACTCTGTCTCAAAAAATAAAAAGGACTGGAGACATAGCTCAGTGGTAGCATGCTTTCCTAGCTTGCATGATGCAAAAACAAATAGATAAAAATAAAAATAAAATTTGAGTAATATAAAATGGTTTATTCAAATAAAAACAATAGGGACTGAGGATGTAGCTCAGTGGTAGAGCTCACCCAGCGTGGTAAGGCCCTGAATTCAACTCAAGAAATAAATGAAGGGAGGAAGGAAAGAGAAAAAATACTAATATATGAAAAGTCTGAATTCATGGAAGGGGAGGTGAATGAGATTTGACAGGATTCGTAGCAGGTTGAAATTTTAATGGTGATGTTTTAAGTACTTTTAAAAATTAAAGGGCTTACACAACTTTGAGTTGACAAAGTTGGGTGATGGGTACATAGGAGTTTATTTTAGATTTTTTTTTTTTGTACCAGGGATTGAGTCAAGGGGTGCTTAACCACTGAGCCACATCCCCAGCCCTTTTTATTTTTTTATTTAGAGACAGGGTCTCCCTAAATTGCTTAGGGCCTCACTAAGTTGMTGAGGCTGGCCTTAAACTTGTGATCCTCCTGCCTCAGCCTCCCTAGTTGCTGGAATTACAGGCACACAACACTACAGCTGGCTTGTTTATACTCTTTTGAGTGTTGAAATACCACTTAGTAGAAGAAGGAGGAGTAGAAAATAGATTACTGACAACATGCAAATAGGGTCAAAACTCAACATTGGTAGGCAAAGACTGAAGTCTTTGAGATTCTTAATTTTTCCAGATTCAATTTCAAAGTAGATCTAGGAGATTAAAAAAAAAAAAAACATGTATGTGGAGTTTGGTAGAGGGGACTTAGTTGTGGTGAATACTGTTAGTTTACCAGGGCTGTATCTTTTCCTTGGTCATTGATCCTAAGCCAGCTTCTGTTCTCTGCCTGTGAGTGGGTGAGCTGCTCTTAGTAATAGCACTCATCATGACCCACATTACTTTCATCCTCACCGACCTTTGATGTYGGTGCTAGAATGAATCCCATAGCTAAGGAAACCGAAGCTCAGAGAATCTGAACAAGTGCCCAGGGAATAGCTGGCAAGTTACAAAGTCAGGACTTGAGTCTGGGCAGTGTGGCTCCAACCCCCAAGTTCTTTGCCACCACTCCACACTGCTTCCTTGTCCCCCAATCCTCATGGGACAGGAAGCAGAGCAGGTTAAATGAAGAGATGGGACAAAGGACAGAAAGCTGATGATTAGGATGTACTCAGATCCACCAAGTCCTCAAAGGACCTCTGAGACCCTAAGATCATCTTCTGTCCACAGGACTCTGAGGCCAGTGGGGACAGTGGATACCCCAGTGAAAGGCGGGGTGAGCTGGATGACCCAGAGCCCCGAGAACAGGTAAGGATCCCACAGACAATGAGAGTAGAGTTTCCTGTTGCCTCATTGGTCCTTCAGGAGGATAAAAAGCTATAGAAAGGGAATGTGAGTGGGTTCTGAGAATATAACAAGTAAAATAACAAGATTATTTCAGGTAAATATAAATGCAGGGCAGAAGGTAAAATGGGGAATGTGGGCCAGGAAGGGGAGGAGGGTGGTATCTTGGATCTAAGGTTGAAAATGGCAGATGAATCTGCAGCTGGGGCCTTTGGTTATTGTGGGGAGGGGAGGCTGGGTAATGGGCTGGGCCATGTCCACATCAGCCCCTCATTCCTGCCTGTGGCYTGACATCTCTTTAGCTTGGCAGACAAGGGTTCCAGCTTCTGCTGGGGAGGGCTGGGCCAGTTCCCCAGCGGGAGGCTCTTGGGAGAGAGGTCTGTCKTCAGAAAAACTCAATCTCCACTTCCATCCAGGGCCACTCAAATGGCAACCGGAGGTACGAGTCYGATGAGGACAGCCTGGGCAGCTCCGGACGGGTAATGCAGTCTTGGGATCTCTGGTCACTTGCTTGTCTGTGGAGGGCGCTCTGTTTCTGTTTCTCCTCCCTCACGTCACTGCCACCTGCTCGTCCTCCTTGCATGTGTCCATTTTGCAAATGAGCAAATTGCCTGGGCAGGCATGAGGTGCCATCCTGTGCAGGAACTTGTGGGGAGGCTTCAAGACATGGTCCAGGAGGGGAAAATGACAATGGCTGTAGCTCACGTGTTAGACTACTTGACCTAGAGGAGCCTTGTGCACTTAATGAATCTATTTATTTATTTATTTATTTATTTTGTGAGGGGTGGTATTGGGATTGAACCAAGGGGCATTTTACCTCTAAGCCACATCCCCAGCCCTTTTTATATTTTATTTTGAGACAGGGTCTCACTAAATTGCTTAGGGCCTCACTAAGTTGCTGAGGTTGTCTTTGAACTTGCGAWCCTCCTGCCTCAGCCTCTCAGCTGCTGTGATTTCAGGTACGCATGACTACCCCCAGCTAATCCATTTATTTCTTGTAGCCACTCAATGAGACAGGCTAAGGTTACTCATCCCCATTTTATGTATGAAAAACTGGGATCTTAAGCAACTTTCCTTAGGTTCCCAGGCTAGTCCAGATTGAGTATCCCATATCTGAAATGCTTGGGACCAGAAGTATTTTGGATATTTTTGGATTTTGGAGTCTTTGCATATATACAATGAGATAACTCGGGGATGAGACCAAACTCTAAGCATGAAATTCGTTTGTATTTCATATACACCTTAGCCCCATAGCCTGAAGGTAATTTTAAGAAAATTATTTTTTAGTTGTAGATGAACRCAMTACCTTTATTTTATTCATTTATCATTATGTGGTGCTGAGGATCGAACCCAGAGCCTCACACTTGCTAGGCAARCACTCTATCACTGAGCCACAACSGAGCTTCTGAAGGTAATTTTATAGGACATTTTTAGGGCACCTATGTTTTGACTACAGCCCATCTCATGAGATCAAGTATGGACTCTTCCCCTGGTGATGTCATGTTGTATTCAAAAAGGTTTCAGATTTTGGAGCCTTTCCAGTTTCTGATTTTTGGATCAGGGATGCTCAGCCTGTATGTGTAGCAGGCATGCCAGAGGGTGATTAGCATTAGGCAAGTCTCAGACCAGCCCTACACCTCACTTGCTCTTCTCTACTGACTCCCAAACACACCTTGCTTGGATCTCGACCATCTACACCTTTGCTAAGAGGATGAGTCTCTCTCCCTTGCAAAGTCTTTCCTTCCCCTGTGTCCATTCCTCCTCAAATCCTGCTCTCCAAGCCTGGATGCCATTGGCCCTCCCAGCAGTCCTGACTCTTGCTCCTCCCAGAATGCTGAGCTGTTTCTCCATCAGGTCGGGTTTTCCCAGCTCAGCATGGGGCAGGGTTGCTCAACCAGGGCACTGTTGGCATTCAGGGAGCGCTCCTCGTGGTGGGGTGGCCCTGTGCATTGCAGGATGTTGAGCTGCCTGGCTCCATCCTGCAGGAACCTCTGGACAAGTGTATCTTCAGCTGGAAGAAACCACGCGTTTTCTAAACCCATGCCCAAAGCACCCTTTGATGTCACCCACGGCATCAGGGTGGATTTGGAAGAGAGCAAGTGGATCTGCTGAAGTCTGATTTTCTCATGCCTTGTATGGGGTTTAGTGTGTTGAGCCCCCCAAGCAGACTCAGATTAATAAATAAGGGGGGATCGCTTCTCTGAGCTGCTGCTGTCTGTTCTCCTCTGAGTCCTGTGGTTGCTGTCTCTCCACACCTGCAAACTGGTGGCATTTGAATGATTAGAATTGGAACGTTTGTCCAATAAAATCGGACGCTGTAAGGATTTGTTCTCCCTCTTACCAGCAGACTCCGGGGTGCTGGTAGCAGGGGCAGCTGAGACGGGGACAACAGGTCTACCCMAGCCCCTCTTTTCTCTGACCTCTAAGCTGCGCCCCCTCCCCTCCCCTCAGGTCTGTGTGGAAAAGTGGAACCTCCTCAACCCCTCCCGCCTCCACCTGCCAAGGCCATCAGCGGTGGCCCTCGAAGTGCAAAGGCTTAATGCCCTGGACCTGGAAAGGAAAATCGGGAAGTCTGTTTTGGGCAAGGTATTGTTGATGCCCAATTTCACAGTCCTTTCTGCACGAGCCCGGGGCCCCTGGCCCACGCCTCTCCTGTGCCAATCGCTTCCTCCCGCAGGTTGGCTGGGCGGCCCTTGGGTGCGGCTTGGGCTTCGCAGACAGCCGGGCCAACACTGCAGTCTGTGTGGCAGGTCCATCTGGCCATGGTGCGCTACCACGCGGGCGGGCGCTTCTGCGACAAGGACCAGGAGTGGGACCGCGACTCGGCGCTCTTTCATCTGGAGCATGCAGCAGACCTGGGCGAGCTGGAGGCCATCGTGGCCCTRGGACTTATGTACTCACAGCTGCCCCACCACATCCTGGCTGACGTCTCTCTGAAGGTGAGGRACTGGATGATGCAGACCCCGCAGGAAGTGGAGGGCTCCGTCCACCCAGCCATCACCTACCTCCTGTCCTGGAGGTCACTCACTCACCTGCCTCCCTGAGGCCCCAGAAACATCCTGGGCATGGGTTTGGGGTCAGGTACTTCAAAGTTAAAACTGGCAGACTTGATCTCTGGCTTTGGGGAGTGACAGTCACTTTTCCAGGCAATAGTGACGGTATGATGGGAGAAGCAGAGGAGACTGGTGGACACAAATAAGGAAAGGCCCTAAGGGGCTTTTGAGTGGTCCCTGCAGGCCTCCTGTCATCAGCTCTGGCCATACCCCTAGTGGCTAGAGCAGAGCCTGGCACTGGGAGATGCCCATTCACTGAGTGGATTATCTAAGACCCAAAGGCCAGTGGGAGTGAGTAGGTCAGGTGAGAGACAGAAAGTTAGGTAGAGTCTAGAAGGTGGTCAGTGGGGTTGGAACACAGGGATGAGATGGGTGCAGGGTTGGGGCTAAGGAGCCGTCAGGGTAGGATGTGAAGGAGCAGGATGTGGATGTGTTGGGAATTGTGTAGGGGTCTCCTCCTTCCTTCCATGGGTACAGAAGGGAAGAATTGAATAGACATGTTCTGGCAAGACCTGGGGAATGCCCTAGTTTCCCGGGAGAGGTCGGGAGGCTTTGGGTGGGTATGGCTGGAGCGGAGAGAGGCTCAATATGGGTCCAAGGCAACAGCCCTCCTCAGGGCTTGACCATGGCTCTCCAGCAGGCAGATCTCAGATGAAGAGGGTGGTGAAAAACACTTTGAAGACCTTATTTATTTAATTTTTGAATAGCTAATACACTCATGAAAAAGTAAAAAAAAAWAWATATATATATATATATATAAGCTGGGTGTGGTGGCCCATGCCTGTAATCACAGCTACTGGGGTGGCTGAGGCAGGAGAATCATAAGTTCAAGGTCAGTCTGGGCAACTTAGACCCTGTCTCAAAGTAAAAAATAAAGATGGACTCAGTGGTGCACACCTGTAATCCCAGAGACACTAGAGGCTGAGGCAGGAGGATTGTGAATTCAAAGCTAGCCACAGAAACTTAGTGAGGCCCTAAGCAACTCAGTGAGACCCTACTGGGGAGTGGCTTAGTAGTTGAGTGTTCCTGGGTTCAATCCCTGGTAGCCCCCCAAAAATGAAATTGAAAACACAAAAAGGGCCGGGGATGTAGCTCAGTGGCATGAAAAAAAAAAGAATAATATTTGAAGGTTTACAGTGCAAAATCCCCCTCCCACTTTTCCTCCCATTCTCTCATTTTCTGAAAAACACATATAGCTGTTATTACCAATTTTTCATATATAATTGCAGAAATGTATTAATTACCTAAGATATAGTAACGAATTACTACAACCTGAGTGCAGGACCATGCGTCCTCGGAGGCTCTAGGGGAGAACCTTCCTTATCTCTTCTGGCTTCTAGAAATTGCCGCCAGTTTTTGGTGTTCCTTGGCTTGAATCATTTCAATCCCTATCTCTGCCTTCACGTGGCCTTCCACCCACATGTCTCTGTCTCTGTGTCTCTTGTGTTTTTATGGACCCCAGCCATATTGGATTTAGGGTCCTCATAATCCAAGATAGTCTCCTCCTCACATAACTACCTAACATCTGTGAAGACCCTGTTTCCAAATCAGATTACTTCCTGAGGTTCTGGGTGAACATGAATTTTGGGAGGCATATTATTCCTCCCAGAAAACAGTTTTCACCTGCAAATATGGAGTACAGATTCTAACGGTCCACCTTCTTGTTTTTCCTCCAAAGTTAGCATACTGTACCCACTTTCTGGACCTTGCTTTTTTCACGAGACCTTAATTTTCCACAGTGTCACACAGAAAGCTTCCTGATTCTTTGTGGACAGTGTTCCATAGAATGGATATGACACACTTTAACCTGGATGGATTCTTGGGTGGTTCCACTCTTTTGCTGCTGTGACTAGCCTTATCCACATTAAGTGGAACCTTATGAAACTTCACATTTTTTTAATAGATCATGAACTGTAGAATGTTGGTAGCTTCCTGTGGTTTAGTTGACTATAATATTTGGCATGCAGGCAAGGGATACCACAGCTGTTTTTATTTCCTTTTTTATTCCCTATTCTTCCCATCTCTGTGCTTCTTGGGGGCAGGACTGAATATATCTCATTCAATGAGTGATGTGCTGCTAAACATTCAGTAGTTGGCTTTCAGAGATGCAGAGGAAATCTGTGCATATATATATATACATATTATACAGTTTGCTGACATAATATGCAGCATATGTTTTACAAATAGCAATAAAAGTACTCTTGTAAATTCTATATTGTCAGCTGATCCACACAGAACACGTTCATTGGTTTTTGCCAACTTTTGCACATGCCAACCTACCGGTGGTGGTAATTGGTGAAGGGGTATAGTTCTGACATGAACGTTGGTTGATATTTTCACTTACTTTAATAAGTAAAATGATAGTAAAATAATGAAGACCTGTGTTAGAACTGGAACTTCATTTGCTCCTGACCTGAGTAGATTTTTCCTGCATCAGATAATAGTTTTAAGTGCTGGAAGAACATTCTTTTAATTTCCATAGCTAGGCATGATGGAATGGTTACAGAGGTGAAACATTTTGAAGCTTAATCTGCACTATTCCTATCTTTTCTTTCCCTTTCTGAAGTTCAGATATGGAGAAAACAATTAATCAAATCCTGATTTGTAGCATGGTCTACTTTAGGGGAGGAGTGGGGTACAAACTCCTGCCATGGTCAATTTATTTGTTGTTGATGGACCTTTATTTATATGTGGTGCTGAGAATCGAACCCTCACACATGCTAGGCAAGCACTCTACTTCTGAGCCACAAGCCCAGCCCTTTTGTTATCTTTTTTAAATATTTTATTTTTTAGTTATAGGTGGACACAATATTTTTATTTTATTTTTATGTGGTGCTGAAGATCGAACCCAGCGCCTCACGCATGCTAGGCGAGTGCTCTATCTCTGAGCCACAACTTTTTGTTATTTTTGATTGACAATGATTGTACACGTTTATGGGGTATAGTGGGGGTGTTTTGAAACGTGTATACGTTGTGTGATGATTGGTATGTCTGTTATCTCATACATTTATCATTTCTTTGATGAGAACATTCAAAACCCTCTAGCTATTTTGAAACACTTTATTTTTAGCTATAGTTGCCTTGCTGTGAAAGGGAACTCCAGAACTTACTCCTCCTATCTGCTTGTAACTTTAAACCCAGTGACCAACCTCTCCTCATCCTTCCCTTCCCCTCCCCAGGCTCTAAAAATACAGAACGCTTCACAGAATTGTATGTCATCCTTTAAAAGGGACCATGCTCATCTTCTCTGTGAGGTTCCAATTTTAGTATAGGTGCTGCCCAAGTGGACACTAACAAATCCTAACCAGGGATTTGCCTCTTTCCCCAGGGGACATTTAGCAATGTGTGGAGACTATCTATCTATCTATCTATCTATCTATCTATCTATCTATCTATCTATCTATCTATCTATCTATCCGTTTATTTGCCAGGGCCAGGGGGTACTGGAGATTGAACCCAGGGATGCTCTAATACTGAGCAACATCCCCAGCCCCTTTTTTCTTTTTTAATATTTATTTTTTAGTTGTAGATGGACCCAATACCTTTATTTTATGTATTTATTTTTATGTGGTGCTGAGGATCGAACCCAGGGACTCTCACATGCTAGGGGAGCGCTCTATCACTGAGCCACAACCTCAGCTCCCCCCCTCAGCCCTTTTTGTGTTTGATTTTGAAACAGGGTCTTGCTAAAGTTGCCCAGCCTGGCCTCCAATTTGTAATCCTCCTGCTTCAGACTCCTGCATTGCTGGGATTACATGCCTGAACCTCCATGCCCTGCTATAGACTTTTTTATTTTTATTTTTTGGCACTGGGGATTGAACCCAGGGGTGCTTAACCACTGAGCCATATCCCCAGCTCTTTTTGTTTTTAATTTAGAGACAGCRTCTCGCCAAGTTGCCGAGGGCCTTGCTAAGYTACTGAGGCTGGTTTTGAACTCTCAATCCTCCTGCCTCAGCCTCCTGAGCCACTGGGATTTGGAGACCTTTTTTTTTGTTGTTGTTATTGTCATTGCTGCTGGCATCTGGTGGGTGGAGAGCGGGGATGCTGTTCAGCATCATACAAAGCACAGGACCGTCCCCACCATGAAGGCTGTATGTGGTCCCAACTGTCCATGGTGCTGCAACTGAAAAAATTCATTTCAAGAACATAAATAATAGTAAAACACAGTAAAAATAATTAGGGATTGATGGCTTTTGAGTATTTATTACCTTTGTTTTAATATGATTCATCTTTTAAGTTTATGATTTTATTTCCATGCTGGGTATGGAATACAGGGCCTCCTGCATGCCAGGTGTGTGCTCTCCACTGAAYGACACTCCCAGCCCATGATTAAGTTTTAATCATGGTTGTGCTTTTCAACAGGCTTGCCAAATTCCTGAAAGTTGGGTTTTTTGGTGCCAGGGATGGAACCCAGGGCCTCACACATGCTAGGCACATACACATCACTGAGCTATTCCCCAGCCCCAARTTTATGAAAGCGTAAGTCTGTTCTTGTGAACCCCAGCACTTGGTACAGAGGACCCTCAGAGGGTTTGAGGCCTCAATAAAGGGATGCTGGATGTGAGGACCAGGACTGTGGGGGATCCCACCTCTCTGAGACACTCTGATAACTCTCCCTATTATCATAGGCCGTTTGTACTGGTCCATCTAKCGACCTTGTAAAGGGGTTGAGAAGCACGTTTAACATCCTTGTCTGTAGGTATCCCAGCTATCTTTCTCCAGGGTTCCGACTCTGCAAGCTTCCCCTGGCAGGAGTGTGGCTGCATGRATCATTGTGGTTAGGACAGGACTGGCCTGCAGGAAGTGAGCCATGCTCAAGCCATGTCTTAGCAAGGGAAATGATGGCTACCTGCTTTAGGGGCCACTGTGGGCCTAGAAAGCCCCTCTCTCATTTTCTCCAAGRTCCCCCTCCTCTAAAAGGAGGCCTTTTTCTGTTGTCTTGTTAAGACATTCATTCACTCAGCAACACATGATTTTTTAGCATTTTTATTATTGATATTCACGACAATGAATGAGATAGACAAGGTCTCTGYTCTCCTGGAGCAAACTCTTCAGGTGGAAAAGGGTATGATACAGATAMTAATTAACAAATAAAAATATTTCAGCTAGGTGCTGTGGTGCACACCTGTAACCCCAGCAACTTGG